CGCCATAGAGCAGCAGAAGGCCCAGTTCCAGGCCCAGGTTTGTTCCCACACGGTGATCTGTGTCTTCCCGGCTCCAACAGGCCACATGCAGGGGACACTATCCCAAGATGTCCAAAAGAACCAAGACGTAACGCTTTATGTGTTCCATACTGTACTGAGGGCTCATGTTAACATTTTAATGTAGTCTACACATCTAATTCTCCAGATATAGTCTGACAGGTACTGATTATAAGGTTACAAAGTGAAAAATTAACAGCAATATTTTTGGTTTATTTAGCCTGTCATATAGGAAAAAATGTGTTATTCATTATTCAGTCATATTTTCACCATATTATTAATACATTTATAAATGTCATAGTTCCAAGCCAAACACTTAATTCAAAAGCTAAACATTTAGTTTACAAGCTAAATATCAATATCAAATATTTATATAGTTTTATATTTATTTAAATATTTAGTTTCAAACTAACACAATTTGTAATTAACAAGCTAAATAGTTTACAAACTAAATATTTAGCTCAAAATTAAATATTTATGTAATTATTTAATTTTAAATATTTATTACTAAATTTTTAGCTTTCAGATGAAATATTTAGCTCCAATCAAAGACTTAGTTTTTATGTGACATTTATAAATGTATAATATGAATAAGATGGTAAAAATAACTATGAAAAACAGCCTTTTTTCCACATCACTGGAAAAAAGTAAACTTTGGAAAAGTTTACTGTGTAACTTCAGCCTGTTGGCATTATCGTAATTGCTGCAACTCAGTAGCTTTGCAGCAGCCATGAAAGGAGCCGGTACACTAACCCTGAGTCTGATTCAGTGTCTTGCCAGAGTTGTCCATTTGACCGTCTGTCTGTTGTGTTTTCCAGGTGCACAGTTTCACAGACGTGTGCTGGGACAAGTGTGTGGATAGTCCAGGCTCCAAGCTGGACTACCGGACAGAGACGTGTCTTCAGAACTGTGTGGAGAGGTTCATTGACACCACCCTAACCATCACCAACCGGTTCACACAGATGGTGCAGAAGGGCACTCACTGATCATGGACCTGATCCAGAAGGACGATTTACTCAGAAGCTACTTGTGTTGTGTCATGTGGATGAGAGAGGACCATATGTTTTGGGCTCTGGAGATGTGGGATGAAGTCTCTCTTGTTTCTGGATGTAAATCAGTTTGTAAACTCGCACATACTCTATGTTCTGGTGTGAGATCCCTGCAAGTTGTCAAAGGTTTGACAAAGGTTCTGATAGAATCCAGTGGTCTTACATGATATTAAAATCTTTAAATATTGTGCTAATTTTTTCTGTCTCTAGGTGAAAGACATAGAAATACATAGATGGCTTATATACTTTGATTAACATAACAATCCAGTTTATTTGACACACAGTAGTAAAGGTAAAGGTAATTTTATTTATATAGCACATTTTCAGCAACAAGGCAATACAAAGTGCTTACTGAAAGGTACCTTTACTGTTCCCCATTCTGTTTGGTGATTTTAAAACTAGTGGTGCACCAATTACTGTTTTCTTTTTGATCACTAATCTTTAAAAAAGTTAATTTAAGGATTCAGATTTTGACCATTTATCAATTATTTTTTTAAAGTAACTGACACTGTCAGGTGATATAACTTCACAATACACCTTCAATGTTCCAATCTTGTTTTATTGAAACATTCAAGAGGCAGTTGTCTCGAATAAATAATATTTGGCTATTTTTTTTTTTTTTTTTGGGGGGGGGGGGGGGGTTGGGGTTTTTTTTTTTTTTCTTTTTTTATTTTTTTTTAACAAAAAAAAAAAAAAAAG